ATATTCTATAATATTAAATATAAATATTATACATGGAATAATCCCTTAATACTACTAACATTAATCAGGCAGTTTGAAAAATTACAATTGATCAAAAAATGGCTTTAAACTAGGTTAAAATTATATAAATTAGCATTTAAAATCGTATCTCGAACAGCTCTATAAACAAAAAGAATCCCTTGGTTATGTTCATCGGTACAATTTAAATAATAAGAGTAGACCCTTCGCTTTGTAGGTATGGTTCTCAAAAAAATGTTGGCAATAAAAGAACGAGCTTCTTGCGGATCATACGGTGATCCGGAGTATTCAGGAAAATAATCGGCCAAATGTGAGTAGGTGATCTTTTCCTCAAATATATCCAATTTATTAAAAACTATAATAAGTGCTGTGTCTTGGAAATATTGAAAAGACATAATTGAGTTCAAAAGTTCAATAGATTCTTTAAGACTATTGCCATGTTTCGAGTCCAAGGAGAATTGATCGTATTCGGAAATGGCCACCATATATATGATGGCGGTAACATTATCGAAACAATGTATCCATTTCTTACGTTCTGTACTTTGATAGCCCACATCGGCTATAAGGAATTCAACATTTTTATATTTAAACACATGTTCTTGAAAGCCTTTTGATGGTATACGTGCTCGTAAAATATCCTGGATGCTGGGTGTATAATGTGGATTGGCAATACGATCTAGATGACTGAAAAAATATTTCGTTGAGTCTAGTAGACCATACTGATGACCACGCATAAAACATTCCTGTATGCCAGCATCTGCCCAAAGTTCCTTTAAAGCCGTCAATAAGACATTAGTAAATGTTATCGTATTGTTCAATTGTACCATTTGTATAATATACGAATTTTTTACTGCATTCACTTTAGTCTTATAGGGTATCTGAAAAACTTTCATTGCTTCGATCATGGTTTGCATTGCGTAGAATATATTTTGAATTATAATGCCCACATATTTCGTGGAATCGTATGGCATATGAGTCTCGTAGCGCATTTGACGTATAAATGTAGATTTACCAGATCCCTTCGTGCCCAATAACAGCAATTTTATTTGTTTATTATATTTACGTTTGTGAATTTGCAGATTTCTTTCCAATCTTTTATTTTGAAGATTTTGAGCTCGTATCTCTTCAGAACATAAACAATTCATGTCGATAATAGTATTTATGTACAATTCTTATTAATATTATTCTTTTCGGACGTCTATAACAACCGTTGTTACGAGACACTCTGTCGTTACTAAGTTGTGAGATAAAATGCAATTAATGGTTTATAGCTTCTATTCTTGAGTATTTTAATGTCATTTTATTTACATTCATTTAAATTTATATGTTCATTTTAAAATTGATCATTTGCGATATACCGTCATAACTCATTTTTATACATTTTAATTTTCTTTTCATACATACATATATATTGTACTTCTTAGGGTGTCTTTGACAATAGACATAGGATTTCTATTGCCGACATGTAATTTCTTTAGATTCTAATAAAAATTTAATATATTTTACTGCAAGAATAATAATTTATTATAAGAAAAATACTCTGTTAAAGAAAAACGCAATATTTGAGTTATCACATTCTTTCTTTAAACATGATATTAATATAAACTCGTATGTATTCATTTCTATATTTTTTATAGAAGGTGAGCAATTTACCCAGTAAAAATGTACAGTATTTGGATTTTCTAATACCCACATAGTTTTATTTTAGTAAGAAATATGCAACATCAGTAAGATTTTTTTAGAAAATATGTTATTGCAGGAATAAGGTAAATGAATTTCTGTTGAAAAAGTGTTGTCCTGAATAAAACTATAAAAAACACACACACCTATATTTGAATTTTATGATTTCAAGAAAAGCGTTTTGAAATTTAAAATTTTTTAATGTAATGCTTGTTTAACTATCGATTGACCTGAAAATGTTTTCATGGCTTTAAGAGTAAAATTAAAATCCCTCCTATTCTGCAATTTCATTTTATACAAATATTGCTTTGCCGTTGAAAATGTCATTATGTCCATATATCTCCGGAATATTGCTTAAATACCTATAAATATGTTAATTATATAGTAATCGTGATAAAATGTTCCAGGAGTAAGTTTAATGCACCCTAAAATAATACTGTTAGGTATGAGGAACATCGGTCTATATTTGAACCTAGCCCCCATATAAGATGGTTTTAACGCACAGAACTTTGTGGTATTTAGATAAAATTGTAGAAAACTGATTTTTAAGAATTTAAAGACATTTTAAATACTGTAGACATAATTGACCAAGGCGCCATAAAAGGGTCTATCCCGCAAATCACTTTGATAATAATGTATATAGAAATCGTAGTACATGTTAATAGATGGGATTTTTACCAATTCATTCAAATAAATAAATATGAATGTCTTATTTTTCTAAGAAGTAAATAATGAAAGATATACTGCTATATTTTGCGCACAGTGGAACAGAGTAATAACAAATACGTCCTCTGCAGTATTTAAAAAGCATAAAAATATTCAGTTAGTTAGTAAGTTAGTTAGTTATTTAGTTAGTTAGTTAGTTAGTTAGTTAGTTAGTTAGTTAGTTAGTTAGTTAGTTAGTTAGTTAGTTAGTTAGTTTTTACTTGTAGTTGTTAGTTTGTTAGTTAGTTCGTTAGTTAGTTAGTTAGTTAGTTAGTTGTTAGTTAGTTAGTTCGTTAGTTAGTTCGTTGTTCGTTAGTTTTCGTTCGTTTTTAGTTAGTTCGTTCGTTCGTTAGTTCGTTTTAGTTAGTTCGTTCGTTCGTTCGTTCGTTCGTTCGTTCGTTCGTTTGTTCGTTCGTTAGTTCGTTCGTTCGTTCGTTCGTTCGTTCGTTCGTTCGTTCGTTAGTAGTTCGTTCGTTCGTTCGTTTTCGTTCGTTCTTTTCGTGTTTCGTTCGTTCGTTCGTTCGTTCGTTCGTTTTCGTTCGTTCGTTCGTTCGTTCGTTCGTTCGTTCGTTCGTTCGTTAGTTCGTTCGTTCGTTCGTTCGTTCGTTCGTTCGTTCGTTCGTTCGTTCGTTCGTTCGTTTCGTTCGTTCGTTGTTCGTTCGTCGTTCGTTCGTTCGGTTCGTTGTTCGTTCGTTCGTTCGTTCGTTCGTTCGTTTCGTTCGTTCTTCGGTCTTCATTCGTTCGTTCGTTCGTTCGTTTCGTTCGTTCGTTCGTTCGTTCGTTCGTTCGTTCGTTCGTTCGTTCGTTCGTTCGTATCGTTCGTTCGTTCGTTCGTTCGTTCGTTCGTTCGTCGTTCGTTCGTTCGTTCGTTCGTTCGTTAGTTCGTTCGTTCGTTCGTTCGTTCGTTCTTCCGTTTCGTTCGTTCGTTTCGTTCTTTCGTTCGTTCGTTCGTTCGTTCGTTCGTTAGTTCGTTCGTTTCGTTCGTTCGTTCGTTCGTTCGTTCGTTCGTTCGTTCGTTCGTTCGTTCGTTCGTTCGTTCGTTCGTTTCGTTTCGTTCGTCGTTCGTTCGTTCGTTCGTTCGTTTCGTTCGTATCGTTCGTTCGTTCGTTTCGTTCGTTTCGTTCGTTCGTTCGTTCGTTCGTTCGTTCGTTCGTTCGTTCGTTCGTTCGTTCGTTCGTCGTTCGTTCGTTCGTCGTTCGTTCGTTCGTTCGTTCGTTCTTCGTTCGTTCGTTCGTTCGTTCGTTCGTTCGTTCGTTTCGTTCGTTCGTTCGTCGTTGTTCGTTCGTTCGTTCGTTCGTTCTTTCGTTCGTTCGTTCGTTCGTTCGTTCGTTCGTTCGTTCGTTTCGTTCGTTCGTTGTTCGTTCGTTGTTCGTTCGTTCGTTCGTTCGTTCGTTTCGTTCGTTCGTTCGTTCGTTCGTTCGTTTCGTTGTCGTTCGTTCGTTCGTTTTTCGTTCGTTCGTTCGTTCGTTCGTTCGTTTCGTTGTCGTTTCGTTCGTTCGTTCGTTCGTTCGTTTCGTTCGTTCGTTCGTTCGTTCTTTCGTTTGTTCGTTCGTTCGTTCGTTCGTTGTTCGTTCGTTCATTCGTTTTCTCGTGGTTCCGTTCGTTTCTCTCCGTCTTCGGCTGCTGTTTCCCTCTCTCCCCTTCTCTTCCCCCTCCCTTCGTCCCCCTTCTTTCTCTCTCTGTTGTTTCCCCCTCTTCCCTCCTTCTTAAGTTTTATTATCCTCATATTTTTTATTGGTATATACACAAATGGAGAATAGATATATATAAGAATACATTGTTAAGAAAATAATTCAATACATCTTTGAAAAAAGTTAAATTTTCTTACAATTTTATTCACTTACACAGTGCGACACAATTACGAAAAAATAGTATACTCTCCACAGTTTATAGGCCTAGTTCACAACACTATCCTCCATTTTCATCACCTCCAGTTATCGTTTAACCAGTAGTTATTCTTCCAGTTTAGACAATTTTGGTATGAGAACTGTCAACATATGTGTCTTAAAGTTAAAAAATAACTAGACATTGTAAAAATGGGGAGGTTTTTTCAAGAAATGTATTTTTAATTGTTGTCGAACGTAAAAATTTTTATACAGAAATACAATCCCCACGCTTTAAAAAGTGTAAATTCCAAATATCGTGGGGTCACGTGGAGAGTATTCACTTTTTGTGATTTTGTCACACAGTTTTAAATTAAAACAAAATGTATGTGATTAATGTTTATACCCGTTCATTAAATAATACATTACTAAATATCACAATAAAAAATTTGAATATTTTGTTTTACAATAAATTGATAAAATATGTATGTAGGTATGTAGTATATATTTTCAAAGTATTTAAACACACAAGCTTGCAATTAAATTCGTGAACCCTTTAAGAATTAAGACGTTTTTATAAGCTTTTGTGTTATTTAGACATTAATATTTTAGACATACATACAATACACTACTGCTTAACGATTTAGTTTGATGAATTGGTCAACAATTTTTAAATATTCATTGGTTTAACAATTTTTGAAATCTTTACAATTTATTGCTCCAGGCATAGACTTGGGTACAGCTGATGGATAGGACAAATCATACATTGAGATTTTATGAAGTCATGTTTGTCGTGGGGTTCAGGACGAACAGTTGCCAAACCTGAAAAAATAAAATATTGTAATTATTTCTAGATTTTTTAAGACTTAATAGCAAAATGTTTAGGTTAAACAATAGATTTTTTGTTTTTTATAAACAATCAAATTATGGTCAACACCCTCCCCTGTGTCTTTTTTAATTCACTTACCATTTGCATAGCATATTCCATAATATAAGCAGCAATTTCCATAGAACATTCAGTAATGCGATTCAAAGGTGGATATAGAGAACCCTTGGACAAATCTTCGGCCGAACATAAGTCTGCTAAGCGTTCAGCTGACAACAGGAACACATCTTCCGGTATGGTTAACATACCGGCACAAAGAACACCCAAGGCAACACCAGGGAAAATATACGAATTATTACCTTGACCGGGATAGTAATTTCTTGCCATTATATTCAACGGGGATTGAAGGGAGATCCAGAAGCAAAAATACATTTACCCTTAGTGTAACTGTAGGCTTGTTCGGCGGTACACTCAGCTTTACTAGTTGGATTAGAAAGGGCAAAAATAATGGGCATTTCATTGAATTCAGCCATCATTTCAAGAATTTCGGGTGTAAAGGCACCACCAATAGCAGCGGCACCAATTAAAACTGTCGGGCGTACAATACGTACAACATCGGCCAATGTGTCGATGGGTTCATGGGGTTGAGCAAAACGTAATTTATGCTCGGTCAGACCTCCCGAGGGACGATTTTGTACGATAAGTCCCTTACTATCAATCATCCAGATAAGTTTCTTTGCTTCAGCCTCACTGAGACCTTCCTTCATTAAAGCCATCAAACATAAATTGGCAATACCCAAGGCAGCTTCTCCAGCGCCGAAGAATACTATCTTGTTCTCCATTAATTTGGTGTTCTTGATTTTCAGAGAAGCTAGCAGACCGGCAACAGCCACAGAAGCTGTACCCTGTATGTCATCATTAAAAGTGCAGTAGTCATTGCGGTACTTGGCCAAAAGGCGGAAAGCGTTGGCATTGGCAAAATCTTCAAATTGTATCAAACAGTTTTGGCCAAAACGACGCACAGCGGCTGTCATAAATTCTTCAATAAACTCATCATACACTTCACCAGTAACACGTTTCTCACGTATGCCTATATATAGAGGATCGTTGAGAATAGATTCGGTATTGGTGCCCACATCCAAGGTAATGGGTAAACATTGACTGGGTTTAATGCCGGCCAAAGCGGTGTACAAAGACAATTTACCCACAGGTATACCCATGCCATTGGCACCCAAATCACCCAAACCTAAAATACGTTCACCATCTGTCACGACAATGGCACGCACATCAGTCTCAGGCCAATTCTATAAATATTAATAATAAATTAAAATATTTTAAAATTATTAATTTAAAATTATTTACCTTTAAAATATCATAAACATGACCCTTATCCTTGATGGTAATATAAAGACCTTTGGGATGTTGAAAAATCAAACTGAACTTTTGACAAGCCAAGCCCACAGTGGGCGTATACACCAATGGCATCATTTTTGACACATCTGAGGCTAATACTTTATAGAAGAGACGTTCATTACGTTCGGCCAAAGCATTTAAGTACATGTATTTATCCAGATCATTTTCCAAACGATCGAGCAGTATTAAAGAGTGCTGAACTTGTTCATCTTCGGTTTTAACAACGGCCGGCAAGAGACCTTGAATGCCCAACAATTGCCGTTCTTCCAAAGTAAAGGCAAGACCCTGCAAAAAAGTATATAAATTAAGCGGTTAAGTAAGATATTATTTATAAAAGTTGTTTTTAATTATATACACTTAGAAATAGATTTTTATCACCAGAAATAAAGTTTTTTAATAGCAAACATCTTCATATTACTGAATCAATTCTTATAATAGAAAAAAAATAGAAGAACACGCTTTTCATTCAAAATTATTCATTAACAAAAATTGCTTTCAAGTTCACGGTCATGATTGGGTAATTACAATATGTAGATCACATACTACTGCCGCTCATTAAACTGTATCATTGAATTGTTTGGTGTACGACAAATAGTTAATTGTAAACATTATATTTATAACTTAAATTTTTACATATTTAAATAATAACTTGAACTGCAAAATGAAAGTGTTTTTTCATCACGTTTTTAAAAGTTTTATCATTTAAACGTCTCAAATATGGTATTTTTTTACTTAAGGCAGACATATCTCGAAAACCTGATGTGTAAAGGTAATTTTAAGGACATATTTGGATCAGGGATGTAAAATGTAATTTTAAAATTGTGCAAGCGTTAAAAATTGTACTTTTAGACCGGGTTTTTGAGTTGGCAATCAAATGGCAATTAATAATTAGATTAGTTAATCTTAAAATAAATTTAATCCAATGTTAATAGCATTTGATGATTTTGAGTACAAGATTAAACTTCGCAGTGTTGCCATACAAAACAACAGAAAATGTCACTGTTTGTGATCAAAACAATGCATATTTTATAAAAAAGAAGAAGACAATTGTAAATTTAATATGAAAATTAATGAAAACTTAAATTAAAAACAAAAAAATGTATTTTGAAGTGTCCATAATTTATACTAATCAATAAATAGAACATTTTAATGTTTATATTTATTTATTTATTTTTATATTGTTCAGATTATAACAAATATTTTTTTTTGCTAATTTATATGTGGTTAGTGTTCTAGTCTGGTAGACCGGAGGTGGTGGGTTCGATTCCCACCTGAGGCACTGGTTAAGGAGCGCACAACAGGCCCGATAGAGGCCTAGGTGTATTTCTTCGGATTTGATGTATATACATCCTCCTTTCAAACTAACTAACTAACTAACTACTAACTAACTAACTAACTAACTAACTACTAACTAACTAACTAACTAACTAACTACTAACTAACTACTAACTAACTAACTAACTACTAACTAACTAACTAACTACTAACTACTAACTAACTAACTAACTACTAACTAACTAACTAACTAACTAACTAACTAACTAACTAACTAACTAACTAACTAACTAACTAACTAACTAACTAACTAACTAACTAACTAACTAACTACTAACTAACTAACTACTAACTAACTAACTACTAACTAACTAACTACTAACTAACTAACTAACTAACTAACTACTAACTACTAACTAACTAACTAACTAACTAACTAACTAACTAACTAACTAACTAACTACTACTAACTAACACTACTAACTAACTAACTAACTACTAACTAACTAACTAACTACTAACTAACTAACTAACTAACTAACTAACTAACTAACTAACTAACTACTAACTAACTAACTAACTAACTAACTAACTAACTAACTACTACTAACTACTAACTAACTAACTAACTAACTACTAACTAACTAACTAACTAACTAACTAACTAACTAACTAACTAACTAACTAACTACTAACTAACTAACTAACTAACTAACTAACTACTAACTAACTAACTAACTAACTAACTAACTAACTAACTACAACTACTAACTAACTAACTACTAACTAACTAACTACTAACTAACTAACTAACTAACTAACTAACTAACTAACTACCTAACTAACTAACTAACTAACTACTAACACTAACTAACTAACTAACTACTAACTAACTAACTAACTAACTAACTACTAACTAACTAACTAACTACTAACTAACTAACTACTAACTAACTACTAACTAACTAACTAACTAACTAACTACTAACTAACTAACTACTAACTAACTAACTAACTAACTACTAACTACTAACTACTAACTAACTAACTAACTAACTAACTAACTAACTAACTAACTAACTAACTAACTAACTAACTACTAACTAACTACTAACTAACTAACTAACTAACTACTAACAACTACTACTAACTAACTAACTAAACTAACTAACTAACTACTAACTAACTAACTAACTACTAACTAACTAACTAACTAACTAACTAACTACTAACTAACTAACTAACTAACTAACTAACTAACTAACTAACTAACTAACTAACTACTACTAACTAACTAACTAACTAACTAACTAACT